TTACCAAATCTTCGAAGTGACAATATAATTTTTGGTACAAATGTTTAATATGAAATATGATATGTAGTGTCACTACTTTTCAAAGTAGTGGCATGTTGTCAGCAGAGACCAGCCCCTGAGAAGGGCGTTTTGTTAGGTGAAGGAGAGGGGCCACAAGGAGAGAAAGGCCCTCAGAGAGATGGGTTGACCCTGTGGCTGTGACAATGGCCAGGGGCACAGGAAAATTGTGACGAGGGCACAGGACTGGGCGGTGTATCCTTCTGCTGTGCATAAGGTTGCTACGAGTAGGAACTAATTCAGTAGCACCTCAAAACAACAGCATCTTCATATCCTTTTACCTAGAATTGCTTCCACACCAGCAGTACATGTGCAAACACAGGGAAAGTCACATACAAATTTAGTAGAGTTATAAAATGTATAACTTCTTCCTTCCTTGAATTAATTGAAGACTTCCATTTTTCAACATATTTGTTCTTCATAGTGTACTCTAAGAAAGTGACTCTGAGATATCAACTGATGAGCTGTTTCCCCGTATGACCATCTTATAGCCTCAGTACCAAGGCCACAGGGAACAGTTCCATGGAATATTTACAAGGAACCTATGTGAAGCATGGCATACATATATGTACCAATATCAACAAGCTCTTGAAGAGGGTTTCTCTTTCTGATTTAATGTTTTTTGGTCTTTTGTCAAAAATCAGTTGTTTGTAGATGAATGCTTTCATTTCTAGATTTTCTATTCTGTCCCATTGGTTTATTCATCTTTAATTGTACCAGGACCAGACTGTCTTCATGATTGTTGCTGTGTAATAGATTTTGAGGTCAGGCAAAACTTGCTACTTTGGGAGGAGTGTTTTGCTAACGCAAATGAATTGCAAGGCATACACAGAATACCAAACATAATAAGGGAATCACACAGCAGAAGCCAAAATAGATGACTGGGAACTATTAATAAAAACACATGCATGTTGAAAGATATCATCAAAAGGGTAAATTAAGAACCCACAGAATGGGAAAAAATATTTAACAACAATACAACAGACAAGGGACTAATCTCTGATATTCATAGAATTCAGCAACATCTCAACAAGAAGAAAAATAATCTAATTAAAAGGTGTGAAAAGACATGAACAGAGAATTTGTCAGAGAAGACACTTAAATGGCAAACAAATACATGAAGAACTGCTCCTGATCATTAGCTCTTCAGGAGAAGCCAATCAAGAAACACTGAGGTACGACCTTATATTCACAGCCATAGCAAAATGAGAGAGAGAGAGAGAGTGAGAAATGCTGGAGAGGATGTAGAGAGATTGGAATTCTTATACACAATTGGCGGGATTGTAGACATGTGCAATTATGGAAAGGCCATAACTGGAACAAAAATGCCATATGATCTAACAATGCCCCTGTTGGCCATATGCCCCAAGGAAGCAAGAGAAAGAATAAAACCAAATATTCTCCCCCATTCACAGTAGCAAAAAGCTGGGAAAAATGCAACTTCCCATCAGAGGATGAATGAATACAGAAACACTGGTACATACACACAATAAAATACTATGAATGCATAAAAAATGGTGTTGAAACCATGAATCTTCCTCATGACAGGGAAGGAAATGGAAACCATGATGTGAAGTAAAATTAGTCAATCACAAAATGACAACTATTCTGTGAGTTCACCACTATAAGGATAAACACTAAGATGAAGGCAGGAGTGTCTTCACGAATGTAATCTAATCTGGTCTCCTGAGTAATGAGGCAGAGCCTACCTAATGCACACAAACCATATGTCACCCCTTTATATGCGGAACTTAAAAATTGCTTCAACTGAGGATTCCTCACCTCAGCTGGGATCAGTTTCCAAGATGGGGGAGAGGGAGAAGACCATTTAATTGCTGCCATACAACATGGTTCAAAGGTCAACCCAAATCAACAGAAACTCCTACAAGAGTAATAGTGCCCTTTGATGGAAATTCAAGTCAAAATAGGGGAAGGGGCCAAGTATATCTCAGAAAAAGACTGCATTTCCGTTGATGAGTAAACTGGGAGGAGCCACCCTCCATCAGGAAAAATTACTTACCAATACTTATACAGAATCCAAGGCGATAATATTGCCTGGTGCTATGTTCCTAATTGGACACTTTTGACCAGTTTCTATCCAGCTCTTGGTGACCTGGTCAGGTTTTATAGATTCCTGAGACTTTAGACTGTGTCATTTTAAGGCTCAAAACATCCTTATTAGAGGCCACATCAGAAGGATTGATGTGGAAACAGTACTAAGTGAATTGGGCTTTACTTCACATTCACCTGTAGCAAATTTAAGGAACAGACGTACTCCCTTGGCTTTAAGGCTGATATACTCTCGTGTGAGAAGCAGGTGACTGAAATCCCCAGGTTTGGAAATAAAAGTTGTTGGCCTTTTGTTTGGATCGATTGCGTTGAGGGTACTCAATGCGCGGTGGTCTGGGACTACCGTATGTTTCTTATTCTAATACCCTTCTTGCTCGCTTATGACATGTATGAATCTGGTAGATATGGTCATACCTTTGTAAGTGAGTGTCATAGAAACTTTTCCCCTATCACCACCCCCACTGTTTGTGTAAATAGTGTCCAGCCATTTAAGCAAATCAATATTTCATATATTGTGATCTGAAATCAGACTATACTTGTATAATTTCCATTTCTCAACAGTGTTTTAAATTCTGTACCATTGGCTAAATCCATTACTTTGTGCCTCAGAGGGATGGTTTATAATGTTCTCTATCATAAAATTATGGCCCTGTGTCTAACGTGAACTGGGCACATGAACCAGTTGGGGCTTGCACTCACTTAATTTTAGCCCCAACCTAAGAACAACTGTTTCTTATGAAAGGGCCCTTTTTGATGTTTACCCTCATTAAAAGATCACTGAAGTTATGTGTGCTTTAGCAAAGTGTGGTTAATGAACCATATGGTAACAGGTTGTCAGAAAGAATAGCTTCTGAAAGCTTATCTTAAAACAGTCATCTAGATGAGCTATTAACCGAGTTCACATGGAAGAAGCCCACCAGTCTGTGTGATCCAAGGATTATAAGTAATAACATTCCAATCCAAAGAAGGAATGATATCAGAGCTTAAATTGTGAACACCTGGTTTGCAGAGGGCTAGGCTCCCCACATGGACTAAGCCTCCAGTTAATACGCTGTGACCATAGTTAAAGGGTAAAAATAGCCTTACTGTCAGACAGAGACCATTGTAAAATCTATTATGGAAGATGTAGTTTGGCTAAAATGCAATGCCATATCATTTGATTTCCTTTTTCACCTATTTTAAATTTGTGTCAGTTTTTAATATTTACTGTTTTCTTTTGGAATGAGGTTTAAGTTTTTTTTATCTAATCATTGTTGAGGTGTTTGTTTGCTTCCTGTTTGTATACAATTTTTAAAAATGAAGCCCAAGATAGGTGAATCTATTGAGACAGTACCTAAGTTGTTAATGACTTAGGGACATAGCAGGGAAGACAGGGGAAATGGGTCCCTAATGACAATGAGTACAGGACGACAGTGTTCTGAAATTGATTGTGGTGATATTTGTACAAATAGGCTTACTGTAGTTGAATGATTGTATTGTATCATATGTGAAGTATATACCAATAAAAATATAATTAAACAATAATAAATGCCTAACCTTACATGTTATTGACAAAAAATGTTATTGAAAATTTATCAAAATGAAGTACATTTCATAGTTTTTAAATCTATCCATTGCCACATGTTCTCTTAATTATCAAACACATCAGAATGTGTGCCAAGTGTCATAATTTCCGGAGGGTAGTGTAGCATCGAGGGAACGCATATCATTCCTCTCATTGCCGCATGCTTCCTCTGCACCCGCCCCTCCACCATGACCCAGTTCTACCTTACAAATATGACTAGATCACCAGAGGACACACATTGGTAAAGGTAAGAGCTCAAGACACATGGAATTCAGGGCTGATCAACCCCCCAGGAACAGTTGTGTGTTTGGGGAGGGTGGAGGGTGGGTGGTGGTGGGGTGGGTGGCGATGTCACAAGGGTAGGGGGATGGTCAGGTCAGGGGAAGGAGGAGAAAGGGGGAGCCCATTACAAGGTTGGATGTATTCCACTGCGCTCCCCCTCCCCACCTGAAGTGGACAAATAACAGAAATGTGGATGAAGGGAGGCAATAGTATAAGATATGAAATAATCATAACAATATATAATTGATCAAGAATACACTAAGGAGGGAGGGTGGGAAGGGAAGGCGGGAAAAGGAGCTGATACCAAGGACTGAAGTAGAAAACTGTTTTGGAAATGATGATGGCAACATATGTACAAATATGCTTAATGCAATTGATATATGGAATGTTATAAGAGCTGTAAAGCCCCCAGTAAAATGATTTTTAAGAAACAGAGCCTATGTGAGACACTGGGGAAAAGGCAAATGTCAGCCGTCATAAGGAAATTACTGGCATATTAACAGAACATAGACGATATGAGTGAGTTCCAGGCATCTACTGATATTTGTCTCCTCCTATGATGTGAATGTCTTTGAATGCATGCCAAGGCTTCCCCATACCTTGTATGCCCCTTGCACCTTCCCGGTATTGATTTTAATGCTACTTCCTCAGACTCCCTTATAAAAGTGCAGCCTTTCTGAACTGACAAACCACTAAAGAGTCCTGCAAGACAGGTAAGTGGATGCTACAGGTAGATGAGGCCCACATCTGGGATTTTCCCTCACCCCTTATAGGGATAGGTAGGAAGGTACCAGCTTTTATAGAACATAGCATTCAGACTCAGTAAATGGATGGCTTAGAGGCACTAGGGATAGAGATCCCTCTTTCTCTCCTGAACAATAGAAAGAAATGGACATCCCCAAAGTCAATTTCTTTGTAGGGGTTCAAAGGAAAAGACAAGTAATAATAAAGGGGTGTTTCTGCATTTCTCTCTCTCTCATTATCCTACCTCCAGTGATTTCTGATCGCTTTTTGACACACAGACAGAATGCCGTCACCCATGGCCCTTCCTAGCACGCTCTGGACACTGCTGTCCTGCCTGATGTTCCTATCCCAGGTTCAAGGTAAGGTTTTGATTTTTGTTTTCACATTAATAATGGCTGGTGAATGTTCTGAGCCAAGAGGAAGAAAAAGTAATCTCTTTGAGACAGAAGGTAGTGGTGGTGGATATTTGCATGTAACCAAACAGGCTGCAGTTCCTTTAACATTAATACTTCTTCCAAAAACTCGTTGTAAAAGGTCAGAGAGCGGGTCGACAGTAATGTACTAATTACTTTCCATTGTGTCCATGTACTTCAATTAATAATGGAGAATGATGAGATAAAGTGTGAAGAGTCGATTCTGACTTATACAGAGTGCTCAATACAAGAATGGTTATTCAATTGAGCATTGAAGAGGGGGAGTTAAATAAAGGAGATGATTCTCAGAAACACTGACAGAATTGGCAAGGGCAAGGGGAGTGCAGGAGTAAGTATCATTCTCTGTGCAGTAGTCTCATGGACATGTCCTCAGTGCTGTTTATCCACTTCCCCTCCCCAGTCTCCCAACGTCATTGTCCCTCATTCCTCTCCCCCCTTTGCCTTCCTCTACCACAGGGGAAGACTCCCCAGTGGACCCGGCCTCGGCCAGGATCAGCTGCCCCAGAGGCTCCAAGGCCTATGGGTCTTACTGCTACGCCTTGTTTCTGACGCCCAAAACCTGGATGGAGGCAGACGTACGTATTATGATGTGCAAATGGGGCCTACATGGGAAAATACATGGGATCATGGTGGGGGGAGGGGGCTTCCATTTTCCAGAATGTTGTGGTGACATGTACACCTTTCTCTCTTATGCACCATCCTCATGGACCCTGCATCACCTCTGGGGAAATTTCAATTTCCTCTCTGTCTCTCCATCCCCACACAGATAGCCTGCCAGAAGCGGTCCTCAGGATATCTCGTCTCGTTGCTAGGTGCAGCTGAAGGAGCCTTTGTTGCCTCCTTGGTGAAGAGCATGTCAAACAACTACCTATACATCTGGATGGGACTTCATGACCCCACACTGGTGTGATGACATTCTCTCCTCTCCCTTTTTTTCTCTCAAAAATGTCTGGTGTCACATAGACCATTCTCTGTTCACTGCGACTGCCCAAGCAGTTCTGCATGGAGTCCTGGAGCCCAGGGATCCTGGGGAACATATCTGGGAAAGGAAAGGTATTGCAGTCAGCTGGAGAGCTGAGCTCTGTGGAGATTCTGCTCTAAAGCTATAACAAAGTGCCTCTTTTAAAGGTTTTGACACAATACCGAGGCTTCATGATTCAGTTTTCTGAGTTTCACAGGTCTGTATAAACTGGGCTGATGGATTCCTAAGTGACTGTCTGCTTACCTCCTGTAGAATAGACATTTTGGTTTTTTTAGGGCTGTGGGCAGAAGCATTAACAATGCCACACTATTACTGTCTAACCAATGGCAAACGGCTTGGGGTGGTCTGCCTGCTGGCTGTGGCTTTGAGATTTGTCCAATCAGCAACTAGTTAAGAGTCATTGTAGAAGGGATGGTCCTTATAGAATGGGTGGCTTGGGGATCAGAAATTCCCACGAGGGGACTTAGGGGAAGAGAGCTATCCCAACCCTTATCTCACCTGCCTCTTTTCTTCACTCTGTAGGGGTTGGAACCCAATGACGGCGGCTGGGAGTGGAGTAACAGAGATGTGCTGAATTATTTGAACTGGGAACGCGATCCTTCCACCAACTCAAAGCCTGGCCACTGTGGGACACTCTCTCGGCACACAGGTAAGAATTAAAGGAGTCATTCTTCTCCCACCCTTCCCCATCTCCTTTTCCCTTCTCTGTGTGCCTAATCTTCAGGAAATTCTCCCATGCTAGTAGATTCAGTGTTGGCTCCTTTCCTTCTTCCCTTCCTTTCTTTCCTTTACTTTCTCTCTGGCGCTTTCACCTGGAGAGGGACACTGGTGAGGATGTGGGTTTGAATCCAAGGCTAGAATCTGAGATGCCACCTTCCAGGTTCATAGCCTTCAATGGCTCCATACACCTCTCGTCTCTCTTCAGGATTTCTGAAATGGAAGGACTACGACTGCACTCAGAGGTTGCCCTATGTTTGCAAGTTCAAGGACTAAGATCGGTGGAAAAACAGCAACGGGGGCTCATGTGATCATCATGTACTGTATGCCTAGTGTGTGAAGACTTATCAGGGAGAAAATATTATCCTCAAATCCTCAACTTGGTCTTTACAATCGGATCCTCTCTTTGCTTCCCTCTCCCAAGCCCTCATTTTATGATTCCTTGTGTGTTGTATGGCCTAAGAACTAAGGATGAAATAATAAAACTGAAAAAAAATTCTACGATTTTTTTGTTGTGTGTATTTTATTTAATAAGTCAATCCCTAAGTAATAAAAAGGGGCTGTGGCAGAACTGTGGAATATCTTGTCGGTGTCTCGTGTCTATCAGTTCTTGAAGAAAATGACAAAAGTAAATTCCTCCTAGTGTGTTTGATTTCACATGTGTGTCCTGCAGCTGGAGGATGTGGGTTCTAGGCAGACACGTCTGTCCTACACAGTCCCCTGCCCAGCTCTGATGGACTGACACACCTGCCTTAGTGGCTTCTGATGGTGCTTACAGGATGGCTTCTAAAACTTACGAGAGTGAGGGACCTGCATGTCTTTTTTTCCTTTTAATTTCCAATTTTCTTTGTGCTACTACTTTTTAAAATAGAGGACACTAATAAAACGATTTGTCATTTGGAATTCCAGTATGAACTTGGATATGTAAAGTTCTTAGACGTTGATGCTCTTTTTCTTCAAATAAGGAAAACATTGAACTAAATTGAAATCCCCAACTTTCCTCCTATTCATCAGGGAACATAGACACAGAGCAAGCACTTGGGTCTCTGCAAAGGCATGTGAATGCAGCCTATGACAGCTTAGATCCGTTATTTGAAAGAAAAGCCCTAGAGTCACATATTGCTAGGATCAGTTAAATAGTAATTTTGGCAAATTTCTGGGTGCTGAATAGGTATTAGTCTTAAGAGCAAGAAACACCGGAAGAGTATCATCTTAGGGACACTAACCCAGTTTTGTGCATTATACTTTCAGAACTCTAGAGAGTTCTCATGTTGAAGAGCCAAGATAGATCCTTTCATGACTAGCAAGGGAAGGGGAAACAACCATTTAATTTTTTTTCTAGAGTGTTCTCCATGGGCTTGCATATTTTACCCAAGTCATTTCATTAGGACTTAATCTAGACATCAGGTCATTCCATAGTTCAATCACATCCAGCGGTACTGTACACTTTTTACCACAATCATTTTAAAACATTTCTTCCTTCTTAAACTCCTTGATATCAGCTCCCCCCACTTCCCCAGCAGCCCACCAGGAACCCTTATTCTAGTTGTTTTCTCTATGGGCTCCTTAATCCTGGGTTTCATACACTGAAGAAGAGTCACAAATACAAAGATTCAAGAAGGCTATGCACAATGACAAAATACATCAGAAATAAACCCCGATATGAAAAAAAACCCCAGAAAATATGGAAAACCAGATCTAACCCAAAGTGTATCAGATGGGAAGATCAAGTGACAGGATGAAAACCATTCAAGTCAGCGTGATCTGTTTGATCTCCTCCAGTGATCTCTCTAGTACTCTCTGTTTATTCCCATCCCTAATTACGGCTAGAGGAAAATCACCGAAGGCTCCTGTGTAGAGTTCACAAATGTATTTGGGGGCTTGCACTGTCATCTATAACCTTCTGCAACCCAGAATCTGACAAGTTAAGCTCTGATACTATTCCTGCCTTGGGTTTGGGATTATATAATTTACAATCCTCAGGTCACGGATGGTGGTGTGCTTCTTGCATGTGGAGGAGGTTGACATCTCACATAGATGGCTGCTTGTTTGGAAATAAGCCTTTAAGGTCCCAGATGCTATTCTATCTGACAGCCAGACACCATCTAATTTCATCACCACGCTTTGCTACAGTATCCAGACCTTCTGTGCTTCCTTCATGAGGGGGAGTATCAGGTAGGCCATGTCTTCAAAACTAGTTATTCTTAGATTGGAGTTAGGATTTAGTGCAGGCCCAAATCCATTCCTGGATCTATGGTCTTTATCTGCCTCTGGCTCCCCTTAGAGCTCTCCTTGTTATTTTATATCAGAGAATCTTATCATTCATCTCCCCGGCACACTAGTTCTTCTGTTAATAATGTCATTGATTAGCACATGATATTAATTTTTAAAACACTTGAGAGAAGGGAGACTGAACAATGGTAGGCTAACTTCATATCACAATGCCAGAATTAGTCACTTGAAAAGAATAAATCTTTACGTGGTTGAACGCTATTTATACAAACCATGGGAGTTGGTTGCCAGACAAAATTTGCAATAATATTCACTGACAATGTCAATCACAAATCGGTAAGAATAATATGTATCTTAATGCAGCAAGTAAGGCATTGGTATAAGTCTATGTTGGACCACCTACCGACAGTTCGATACTCTTGGTATAGCTTCTTTGCATACCATGTAACTTTGGTCTCATGTCCTCAGGATGCAGGGGCTTGGGAGGTAGACTCAAGCTCACCTAGTGAAATGTCCACATGGATCCCTGTAGTATGGCCTTTGCAGTATGCTGTGTGCCTCGGAGGTTTAGGATTCAGTGTCCTCGTGTTCTATGGTACTTGGCCTGGGTACCCAGGGCAGTCTACTCTCTGAGGAAAAGACTTTGCCAGATGTATATCCTCCTGTAGGAGAAGAGCATTCAACCAACTCCATCTCCATTTAGCCTTCATATTCAATTAAGGTGACCAAATAAAAACTGGAAAATACTTATGGAGGTAATAGAATAGGGATATAGACCTACTGTTAGAATGAGATTCAATCATAAAGTTATTGCACTTTCTCCTCTCTGACATTAACATAATAAGAAAACTTTAATATGATAACAATGAAATATAATAAAAGACAAGCAAGATGCACATACTACTTAAGGGAGAATACCTAGAAAAGCCTAAAGACAATTGGGGAGGCAAAAAAAAATGTTTTTAAGACTATCAAAGGAATTTTAAATCTCTGGCCCTTCTAACTTTGCCACATATGAAATATAGTTTTAAGCACACCAAGATCAAATGAAACAAATTGCCACAGAGCTGACTCTGGAGCACGATGAGTGCTGTGTCTGAGGAGATCTGTGGGCCGTAGGTGGTGACTGATTTTTCAGAAGCAAATTGACATGCTCACCTTCCAAGACATCTCTTGATGTGGTACAATTACCCCTTTAGCACAACTTTCATTTAGTAATAGAATGCTAAGCCATTTGTGCATTGCCAGCTTCCTCAGCAGAATGGCACGAACCTGACATTAATGATTTTACCAGTATATAATGTGTGACAATCAACAGAAAATTATGACAAGAGGAAAGTCAAGGAAAAAAGCATAATCTAGAGATAAAGGAAGCACCAATACCACAATTTGGTATGGCATAGATATTGAAATTTTCACTCAGAAATTTTAAAGCACAGTTGTTAATACATTAAAAATTCTAATGAAGTAAATACACAACATCAGAGAATACAGAAAGACACAGAACTCTAAGAAAAGACACAAGGCAATTCTGGCTATTAAAATATTTTAAAAGAAATAAGAATTTAATGTGGACTCACACATAGCAGAGATATGACTAAGGAAAGATAGAATTTTTTTAAGTTCTAATAATTTTGCCAATATGAACTTCTCAAAAGAATATACTGTAGACACACTTTGATATCATACATAGATAAAATAGAAAACATAGTTAACCAAGTTAAAATTTTTCAAAAATTGCTAAAAGCCTCAAAATCAAAGATTCGGGAATTTCAGAAAATATCAAGCAGAATAAATACCAAAAGATTTTCATCTGGACATATCATATTCAAACAGCTGAAAATCAAAGATAAATAGAATATATTTAAAGAAGTCAGGTTGGTGGGAGTAAGCCCTCTTAGCTATAGAGAAACAACGGGAAAGAAAATTGCAGGAATCATCTCTTCAGAAACCAGGCAAGCAAGATTGTAGATGGAAATAGCTAAAATACTGGCTAAAAAAATCAAATCAAAAGACTGAACTAGAACTATGTAGTTATTTATGCAAACAAAAGTCTCCTATTTCTCTTCCAGAACAACTGATGTGTTTGAACTGTCTATCGTGGGGTTAGCAGGCCAAGTGATAACACTATCCAACTAGCAGGCTGCAGGAAGTACCATACTGCTTTCAAAGTGACTGCACTCTATTACAATCCTACCGGCGGTGTATACATTTTCTAGACTCTCTATTCCTCACCAGTGTGTTGTTTTCATTTGTATTTTAATGGTTAAGAGTTGCAAATCTCTGATTGTCTTATTTGTACAAGTATCAGTTCAGAGCTTCTATCCATATTTTATGTGGACTGTTTATTTTTTATTCATTAAACTATTGATGATTTTTGTAAATTTTTGAGATTAATATAAATTTCTTTATTGTGCATAAATAAAAAAAAGACACGATGAGGCTGGTAACTGTCATTCTAAGCACCAGCAGCTCTGAGAAAGAAAGACAAAGTTGCATGTGAATGTAAAATTTACAGTCTCAGATACCGGAGGAGCAGTTTCTTTGTCTATGGTGTTGATACAATTTGGAGTCTGCTCTCTGTGGTGATGATGCTGCAGTCTCTTTTTGTTCAGATCTCAGTAGGTCTGGCTCATAACAACCCTATATATGCAACAGAATGAAACAATGTCCAGGCCTGTGCCAGCCTTCAAATTTTTCATTTTTTTACCCAGATTACCAGTCACTGTGTCAATGCATCGTGTTGAGGGTCTTCTTCTTTTCCCATGCCCACCTACTATAATAAAACAATGTTCTTCTTCAAGGACTGATCTCTCCTGACGACCTGTCCAAAGTTAGTGAGATGATGTCTCACCATCTTTACCGCTAAGGGGCACTCTGGCAGTACTTCTTCCAAGACAGATCTGTCTGTTCTATTGGCAGTGCATGGTACATTAAATACTCGTAGGCAGTAGCATAATTCAAATGAATCCACCATTTTTTTTTTTTTTTTTGCTTTTCTTTATTCAATGTCCAACTTTCACATGCATATGAGACAATGGAAA